CTTTATTTTCTGTTTTTCGGGATAACATATAGTCTATGTTCACCGCATATGATGTAGCTTTTCGTAAGTGAAAGAATTTTTAAAATTAGTCAAGAAGTTTTGGACCTTATTCATTGCATACAAACAAACAGTCAAATCTTTCCTCTTTATCATAATAATACAGATTTAAGATAGAAGTAACCGCGTGTGTTACTTTAATACAATAACTTTAGCAACATTACCTCCAGCATCAGCTAATCTTGTAAATCGACTTTGAATGTTTAAACATTTAAAACGAGGATAATATCTTACGTATGTACACTTCTCGCTTAATATCTATTGCTTATTTTTCTCCTTCATAATGCCTCCTGGGATTCCGGTGGCCCACTTGATTTATGGCTTATGCAAAGAATGAGAGGATATTTTCTACACCATAATTCAGCCTAGTTCAGATTAGAGGCGGGTCTGCGTAGAATGATATATCAATCTGTTTCTTTCCTGTGCCCGTTTTTGTTACAACCGTTATATTACTGTGGACTGTCGTAATTTTTTTCGTCCGGGATTGTTGGATAATATGTTTGTCATGTTGTCACTTAATGAAAATTTTCGTGTGTCACATAAATCTTCTTTTCTCCGTCGCATATTACCGGTTAAAGAATAAGGTTAGGTTCTCTCCTTGTACATATTAAATACTATAGCCGCTGTACATCCCTATCGCTGCGATTCAAACATAGAATATGGACATGTTATATTCTATGTTTGAATCGCGGTTCGATTTACTTACTAGTAAATGTAAAAAAATAACCTTTATTAATTGTCTCATGGCTATCTTTAGTAGTTCCGCAGTACGCAAAAATTAAAAAATACTTGTTTCATATTTTTCAAAAATCTACCTGACGGTCAAAAAAAATAGTCATCCTCTCTATTAATTTTATTAAACTACGCCATGTTTTAACAATTAAGCATTAGTATCTTACAGTCATTGAATTAAAAGCATTCGTGTTCTTAGGTCATTTGTAATATTAGAGGCACATTGTGCCCACAGGTACAAGGGCACGGTCGACTAAACAGTCGACTAATTTAATTCTGATCAAGATGTTGATAAAACACGTCTTACGGCTTCACGGGGTTGCCAGTGGCTAATCAGTCTTAAACACTGAAAGTATCTCATGAATATTTAAAGTTACAAACGTGCAAACTTATGAAGTCACCGTAGCTAATCATATAAAATGAATGAAAGCATTGCAATCAAGGAGATGAATGACACAATTTGCATCCTCTCTGCAATGGTAATAAGACAGAAATGACTAAAAATATATATTTTTAATATACAATCAACTTCATAAACGTGAAAAATAATGCCCAAACGCCGTTTACATGTTCTTTATATTCTATATATGATATATACTGTTGATTATAATGTAGAATAGTTTTTACAAAATTAGTTTTTGAAAAGTTTTAAAGCGTGTATTTATATTTCAGATAACAGACTCTTTGGTCACAAGTAGCGTGTAAACGTTTAAAAATTTCCCTTTTTTTAACACACATGATTAAACACTTTAGGTGTTGTGTTATCTTTCCAGTATAGAAAAACTTGCACCTAGATAAATATCAAACTTAATATGGTTTTTAAATCTCGAATATATACATTTATTATTTGTCAATGTCGATAAGGTAGGGTCGATGCTTTTACGAAAGATGTACCGCATCTTTTCGATCGCGGAAAGCTAGCACTAACTGTTGCGGCTTCAATTCGTCTAATAGTTTTATTTTTATTTCAAGATAGTAAACCTTTTTTGTTTCAATTCCATTTTGTATTCGTTTTCTTTTAATGTCTTTGTAAAATATTTGTTATGAAAACATGTGTCATGAACAGATATGAAAATCAACATTGTACTCTCGTCGGATATTCCAACGTACTTTTCGTGATAACTTTAAATTAGATTCACAAAGAAAAACGGAAAGATACGTTTATATTATGAAATTCGCATAGCAGTCAAAGACTTTTTCGTGAAATAAGACATAGATTCAGATCTTGTCTAGATCATTTTAAAATTTTTATTTCAACTTAGTAAAAATACTTAAAAAGATCTGTAAATTCGAACTAAATGAAAGTCTAATTTCACACAATAGCCGCCCGAATTCAACAAAACCTACTTGAATTTGTAATTTTATTGTGCGGTTTTAAAGTCGAGTTCATTTCTTTAATTTTTCTCTTTCATCAAGATTGTTTGAGGATTTTTTTCCTTAGGTTAATAAATATATTCATAGAAGATTAATGATATAAAAACACAGTTTCAGTTTGCAGTCTCATTTAATTTATCATTTTTATTTATTACGATAGTTACATTATAACACTCATTGCGTAACAAATTGGACTGGAAGATATGTTGAAACCAACGATACATTGTACAAACTGTAGGTCCTTTTTTATTTTGTAATTTACTCTCTTCTCCATTGTCAACATTATTTATACTTGCATAAGAATCATTTCGTTATTTTATGTATTATAGTTGGGATATATAAAAATCCAGTATATATTAAAAAAAACAGATACGAAAGAATATTACATACATTAAAACATTAAATGTAATCACGAAACTCATTAAAAGCATTTTATGTGTACCATATGTCTTATTATTATGACGATCGTGATAACCTAAAGATAGTGATGTGATAATATTGCTTTAAAATAGTTTGAACTACGAATTCTTTAAACCAGCGGTCGTTAAAATGTGCCCTGCCAACCTTAGGGCCCCAAAAAGAATATGTCCACGAAAATGTTGCTCATATTTCAGCAAATCATCTTAGTTAAAGTACAATATGTTTATGTCTGCGTGGAAATTTTTGGTTTCCAAAAGGGTTAGATCGCCATAAGAAAAATGAGAACCACTGGTCTATTGTTGATGGTTAAAATGTAATATTTTAAGAAACTTGACTGTTTACGTGGTTCTATCGAAACCGACTTTAACACAACTACACTGATTTTAAGCAAAGAAAAACGAATAGACATATATAATTAGAATAATACAGCAAGCATAGTTAAATTATTAATTGATGAGACGTTAAATTATACACAAAAAGCGTATTGCTCCATGCTTGCTTATTTTCCCGCAAACAGTTTCACAAAATTCCCTTAGGCGCCTGTACAACTGCTCATCCATCTTGTTCCAAATAAAAGGGGGAGAAATAGCCCTAAATATCATTCGAAGTGGATATGTTTCGTCCGAATACGAAGCATCACTAACATGTAAAATGTAATACTAAACGTCATGTTGATATACATACTTTAATATTGTCACGTTTTTATTTTTTTAATTAGTATTAATCGTAATGCTTTACAAATAGTTCACTAGACGTAATGTAGAAAAGACAACTTAGCATCTATTATTACTTTAGAGCGCTTTGCGTTAGCATAATGTATAAAAAAAGTCCAAACAAAATTACCTAAATTTCATCTAGGCTAGTTAATTATATTTCTTTCTATATATAACATTAAGTATTCTCATAATGTACATGCTTACAAATAAATTTTCAAATTCGATATAATTCCTTATGGAACAAATCTACCTCCAAACTAACTCAAGTTTCAATTAACTGTTATCCAATAAAAAAAGTTATATTTTTTCATATGAATTAAATTAAAGACGACTGAAAAACTTATTTCACTATATATGTACAAAAAATTACAGATAAAATAATAAAAAAATATTAAATAACGTTGCAAAAGCTAAGTTGAGATATACTTAGTCGAGTAAAAAACACGAATTCAGTCATTATAAAAAAACAAAGTAGAGATTTACAATTACCCAAAATTTATACATTAGTAAAATAAGAGTATAAGAAATACCTTACAATATTGAACTTTAAGGCTGTTAGAATACTAAAAAACAGATAATGTACAATTACTATGGCACTGTTTCGTATATTTATTATAAATTAATTACTATTATAAACGGGAATGTAAGTGGAACATAATATAACTCTCACTTGTTAAAATATCACTTGGAAAGAACAATAAAATAATGGTATGGAATGTCAAAGCTCAAAAAAAATGTCTTACTGGATAAAACCTATATTTTTTTATTATATTTCAACGTTTTCACATTTACAATATGGAATTATTTGCTAATCTATTATCTAGGTAATATATATTTCTGCTAGATTTAACAATAAAATTATCAGAGTCTTTACGATTATATGGGTACTTACGTACATTTATAATTTTGTTTTCTTATACCTCTGATGTGTAATCCGAGCACCGATTTACATAGATAATATTGGTTAAACCATATTCGATATACAGAACCATTCTCTTGTCCTTCTTCATCATCACTTTTAAACATATTGCTATAAAATCGTCTATGCGAAAACTTAAACTAAAACATAATTTAAACTTTACTATGGCAACACAATGTTTTGGTAAATGATATGAGTAATTCTTTCAAAACAGTTTTATTTTATGAAGTTTCGTACATAATGAGTGATTTACCCGAATGGATATATATCAGTTATTACTACAACAGGTACATTAAGCTCTAAAATGCACATTATTACTAAGAATAATTGCCGGAACACACTTTTAAAATACGACGCGATATGCTGAAATGTGGCGCAAGATATGTTGAATTTAAAATGTCTTATTTGGTCTTCTATGGTCAGAATCATGCTACGAACTCAGACAATTGTCGATTGCGGTCGCATTTTGAAGGTGTATACCCAGCATAACACTATTATATTTAATAATTCGTAATGATATCTACACAACTGTTGTTTTGTGAAAAATGTCAGTTGAGGACTTACTATACTCGACCGTGACATTTTATACTTAAACTTTTTTTGTGGACTTAAGTTACATAGTCGTTGTGACTAACATATGACGCGTCCTAATTGACACATTTTAATTAACATTTTTGTTACATTCAACGTATAATCAAATCAATTAACATGTTAAATTTAAAAATTTAATTGTCTTGGAAAATTGCGAAAATAAAAACGTTTTAATCGAACTATTAATATTTTTAATCACACTGTCGTATCGTGGTAGCGGGTCTTATAGGTGCACTCAGATCGATGTGGCGACCGCTTGCTTTCACACTGGCAACACAACCGCGGAGACCCGTGTAAAGGGCGGCTGGCAACCCCAACGGTAGAGTCGGTGAGCCTCCTACCAGGAAAATATTTTAATAAAAGTAGGGGAAAATGTTACCAAGAAAGGTATCTATTAAATATTTCGATTTCCTGCTTAGTGAAGATGTTATTATGGTTTAATAAAATTATTTACGTTACTTTTTTAATATCTTAAGAGTTTCTTATATCAAAGACTAAGATTATCAAAAAGGTAGTTTTATATGTAAACAAAAATCTTTATTGATAATAATTAAAAATATATCAGGAGTTAGAAACCTTTTTTTTGCTGCTAGTCAAAATCAGACAATACTTAAGAAAAGTTTGTATTGAAACATACATATAATTCTTAATTAAAAATATACAAGTATAGCACTGTGAATGCGAAATTGATCAAATATAATAAATACATAAAATTGTTTATGATAGCGATGAACGGTACATTCTAAGGTCGTTAATTAATTATTAAATACGTTTAAAGTACGTTTTCTGTGCATGTGTCAATTCTAAAGAAAAATATATGGAAATATAATATACTTTGTTTTTTGAAACCTTAGCTAAATTCATATTTGACCTACTTTAATAAATCATCAGATTACATAGGTTGCCGATCCCTGATTTACAGTTAAATTATGTCAAGGACTCTGTGATATTGTAAATATTTAACTTACCTATCCAAAGCTTGGGGTTTGACTTCGAGGGTACCAACAATGACTGTGAGTAACCTCTTACTGGTGGAGTGTCATCGACCTGCAACATTGCCAGCCGCTTCCTTCTCCTCACTGTAGCAATATGCCACATGCCATCATCTATTCTAAACTTGGATTCTACACTCTGAAACCAATCTTCTCTGGTGTTGTTCAATTCTTTCATATTTGTGTCAGTGTATATGAGTTGAAGCTTCCCCTCGCTTATGCCTAGGCCGATGAAGTCGCGGGGCCGGATACCTATCTTCCGTCTCCACATCAGTAGACCCGAGTCGTTGTATGTGCGAAATTTTATTTCGTATCTTACACCACGGGCGTTTCGGTTCCTTAAAAAAAGTATATATTTTAGATTAAAAATTTAATTACCATATCACTTTGATATTTCTAATAGGGATGACGACTGAGTAAAAAAAAAGAAATTCTATAAGAATATAAAATATTAGATAAGGTATTTTTTTTACCTCAATTTAACAAGAAATAGCTTAGATAACAGACACTAAAGTTGAGGTTTGAGGACTCGCTAGGTCACAGGTTTTGTAGAAATGTACCAAAGCGTGACGTCATGTGACATTTTGATTCGTCGTAACTTCATGATTACGAAAAAAGAAATACGTTTTAATATTTTTCAACAATCTACCTGACGGACAAACAATCAAAAACTAGTCGCCATCTCTATAGATACTATCATATAAATAACTAACACACAAATTTAAATATTAAGTAAAATAAATATTAAGCATAAAACTACCACCGAGCAAAGTCACCGTGTTAATAAATAAATAAAAATGGTTATGTTAGTATAGATATTGTTCTATTTGTGAGTGAATCATTTAGTCTCACCTCTTTGAAAAATTAAGTATGGTAACAAAATTGTATTTATTAATTTGCTTGTGAAATGTTTGGAAATAGCTGAACTACGAGAGCCAATTGGTTAGTTTTTTGTATTGTATTAGATAAATAATAAAAAACCACATCAAAGATTATCACAACAAATACAAATAAACACATTAATAAATAATCAAGCTTATATTAACCAAATAAATGAAAATCAGAGAAAAAACTAAGGAAATTGCATTCTCATTGCATTATCAGATTTTATTGCCGTGACGAAATGAAAGAAGTTTTGGGGTGAGAGATTGTTTGTGTTTGCAATTCAATATTCCCATTTATCTCCAAAGCTGTGAATGCAGTTTAGATATAATTTTCTGCTAAATAATAATGTTTAGGTAGCGAGAATTCCACATTTTTTAATGGCAAATGCACTAGGGGAATCGGTAATTGTCAGGTCAGTGATAGACAGTTAGATAAACACTTTATTATGATTTTAAATATCGTCTTGAGTACTCTCATGTGACTGTTTGACTTAAACAAAGATTACATATTTTAGAAGCAATCATAAAATGGAATCTAAATTACAAGTGATAATACAAACAAAAGAAGTTGCATATTATTTTAAGAAAATTACACAAAGAGGATAAATCTCAATTCTAGAATTTTGTACTATAGAGATTAGATTATGAAAATAGTGATCAGCGATAATTTTCAGGTAGATGTAGTGGTATTAGTTAACGTATATGTCATATTTACTTATGTTTTTGTTTTTTAATGAGTAGTAAATGCAAATGAAAAAAGAAACATGAAAGCGAGATACAATGATACCGTCAGAACATGCACTTAAGAAGACATTAGGTCATCGTTTTTCAGAATCACAAAAAAGTTTTATTAGGAAGAATGACGTGCACATTACGAGCCGTGGCGAAAATTTGAATAAAACGACGATTTTTCAAAAAAAGTTTCTTTTAATGTAACACTCATAATAAAGTACCAAAATAATTCCTTCAAATAGTTCAAAATAATGATGGTTGACAATTTTTTTTATATATATTCCGTGACATAACTTGCAAACTAAGTGCTTCAAATTTTGTCTACCACATCTAAATTACACTTAAGTGCTACAATTTCCATGTCGCCATCAAATATTCACGAGCATGAAACAATAGAAAGCACCTAATGTCCCCTTTTACCATGAAAAATATAGAAAAGTAGGTGGTTGCTATGTGTTTACCTAATCTAGAATTTCTGCAGTAGTTTATAGTTATATTTCGCTTCCGCCGTATGTTATCTTACATCGTAAGGTCCTTCACCATCATCTTTGTTAGTAAGTAAGCTAGAAAAGAAATTTGGTTAGCGAGAAATTGAAATGATAAAATTAGTATTCAAGAACTCTTTGATATAATAAAAATAGATTTAGGTATATAACAAATCAATTGAAGTTGACTACAACCATTCATTTTCCACTACTCTAGCGTAATGAATATACCGTAACCTAGTTATTTGTTTGATAATTACTTTATTTCAAGGTTTAATAAACGACAAAAATTACTTTGTCCAAATACATTTACTGAAATCGAAAAAATTCTATAAAAAGTGCAATTTTATACACTAAAGTGATAGAATAATATTAATCAATTTATTAACCCATTTAATAAACACAAACAATATTGTGTTACTGACTGAAATTAATTAGATATTTACACAGTGTTGCAGAACAAGATAATTAATTGAAACACGATATCAACATTGGTTTATATATTTGCTAAAATTCTTATTTTTATCTTACCTTCTATTCCCCCTACTCCTGTAAGAGTAGTAATTATTGCCATCAAAATTAATTGGTGTTCTATCATTAAGCATTTCAGCCATTTGTGTCTCGCAATTCCTGCCCCGGAAACCATCTTGGCATATGCACTTGTATTCATTAAGCAGAGGTATGCATTTTCCATTATTCTTGCATGGTGTTAATCCTGTGTATTCGAAAATAAATACTGTTTCATAAAGGAGCAAAACATTATTCCCATTCTTCAAAAAAAAGTACATTTTAATATAATTTTTTTGTATTACTTTTATTGAATGTGAGAAATATTTGAAATCGATTAAGATCTTATTACAAAAACTTATTCGAGATCAGTAGAAATGTAAAACCATTTCGGAATAAATACCGTCTCCACAAGGCGGCCCGGCATACTTAGTAACCCCACTCGTGGCACAAGGAAGCTTGTCCTCATCTTGAACTATAGCACATCTTGCAACGTCTCCGCCGTACAATGACAAAGGGTTACCATTCACGAAGACCTGTTGCACTGCTCCTATAAAACTGCTGGTCACGCCAGACATTTTATGGGGGCGAATATAGGCTCTGAAAAAAAAACGTGGATTATAACGTTTGACAAATCGAGGAACAAAGGCCGATCGACCCGAGGCTAGATTACGATAAATTACGTCAACCCACTGCACTAATGAGGATCGCTGTAATCATTAATTCCGGACTTTGATATCGACAGTAATGACGCATTATTTCCCCTTGATGGACTTCAGATATATATTGAGCAAGTTAATGTGACGTGTAAAATAACATTATTGTATGTCGCGTGTTTGTATAGGCTGGGCAGTAACCGATTTTGATGTAGAAAAATAATTTTCATTAGATATAACTAACACAATTACAAAATATGATACTGTTTTTATAATAACACGATAACAATATAAAGGAGAATGGAACTATCAAGATCAAGATATGATAATGTCCGAAAAATCCTTTATACACAAATACTTTTACTAATGCATATGTATACTATTCCGATTATTTATACCTAGACTACTTTTTATCTGAGCTCGGCTGAAACTCCGCGCAGAAATTTGCGTCAATTAAAAAGTTACGTGGAATCGAGTATTGCATTCATGGAAAAAACCCGATCAATAGCGAATCGGACTCATGGACAGATGATTCCGTATAAAAATGAAAATTTAAATTTCCTTTGATTTTTAATAAGTACATTTTTTTACTGTAGATGACCGACCCTTGTGAAATTTGACACTGCTACGGCGGTGCAAAAGCTATTGCTTATCCACTACGCTACCCAGCTAATTATAACTAACAAATATACAATTTTAACCTTCTAATTAACATAAAAAATATAACCGAGCGACAAAAATGATTTTTGTTTTTTTTTTAAATAAAGTAAGGGCCTCTAAAAAGGTAAGAAAACTGTTAGACAAAGCTTTGTTTTCACATCCTAAAAATATGTGGTTTGCCGATATATTTAAACATTAAACAGGATCGTGCCAGAGCTGATTAAAAATTTAAATCGAACTTTCCTTCAATGAAAGCGCCGAAGTAACACCCCCATTAATTCAACCTCGCAAATTTGTTGCGAAGTGAGTATTAAAATATTAATAAAGTTTGTTTTTATCCGTTAATATTGAGAGACTTTTAATTTGATTTCATAATTAGCTTCTTAATTGAGGTTTGTAATCAAAATATATAATTAATAAATTTCTCTACATAGGAAGCACATTTTTGACGATAATAGAAAAAATATTGAAGCGTTTGCTAAGGTTAATTATTTTATTTTAAAGGTGTTTAAAAAAAAACTAAAATATATTAATTTATTATAATGCTAAGCTCTAACGGTTGTTCTGTGTTCAATTGAATCGTAAAGTTAGCTGCCGGCTGTGAGCGAGCATTACCTAGCTAGTATTTCTATATCATCTTTGCGTACCGACAATATACGCTTTTTTATTATGATATCCATAGGTATGGCTTAGACACAGATACTAGGAGGCAGATATTGTACGCAATATGTACTACGCGATACGCAACGCAAATACACTGACTATATAGTAGAACGTAATAGCTTATTCCTAGCACCCCAGAGCGTAGGCTTAGCGTAGTAGCTCGGTGGCGTAGTGGGTAATTATAGGTTCTTATTAAGCAACTTTCACAAGGTTCTGTCATGGGATAGGTGACCAAAAAATTATTATCTCGAGCTACATCGTGCTTCGAAAGGTGTGCTAAGCCGTTGGCCCTGGCTACAATTGCAATCGTTTATATCCTACAATCCGCATTAGGCTAGCGTGGAAGGTCATAGCCTATTGTCTTTAGCCATCCCTAAGGAAAGCCTGAGACCCTACAGTGGGAACGTAAAAAGGCTGATGATTATAATAATGATCCCAGCTTATTCTGTGAACGCGTACAAGTCAATTGTTTTCTTCATACCACTGGCATATACCGGCACTACAGTTTTAACAGTTTGATCGTGTTACGATCAATTGAGGTTCTAATTGAGCCTGTTACCAGTTGGTGGCTGACTATATGTTTGGTTTGAACACAGCCAATGTACGAGTAAAATAAATATTTAATAAGAAATGTAAAAAATCATTGAAGTCACGTAAGCGGAAATCTTGTATTACTTATTTTATTGTGTGAAAAAAATGCTCGTGCAATATGCGAATGAAAGTCAAATTATAAAAAGTTTATAGTAATTTGTATTAGAAGTTATTACGTACTTAAAGAAACACTTATCAGTTTACAAACATTAATTTAGCTTCTAAACTCACAAAAATACTCACGGTAAGGAACCGATGAAAAGAGGTAGCGTTAACTCTAGATGCGTCAGTGGAGGTGCCGAATGGCCCCTCTGGGTTGGATGGCGATCGAGTTGGAGGCTACCATGGCGACCATTCCTCGTGATACGTGCTCTATGCCAACGTCCTTTGGTAATAGAAACAGAAGACCTTTGACGGAAAAATAATATTAATTAGATTTATATTCACTATTACTTATTCCTGGTTTGGAATTTCAAATAGCAACATCTTCGTAGTATAATGGTTTTGTGATTATGAACATGGAACCAATAACTCCGTAATCATGACGCTTGCAATAGTGTTGAAATATCATATCGGAAACTCAATATAATTTTAAAGTAACGTAATGCCAAATAAAAAAGTAACTTCATAGTTTTCATACCTAAAACAAAATGTTATGATTTTCTTTAAAAGAACCGTACCAAACTGAAATCGTATAAGCGATCTGAAGATCTCCCGGAGAATTCATGATATATAAAAATAGCATTGTAGATGCAAAATTCATAAAACCAATAAAAATATTATGTTATTTACTAAGCTATCTGGAAACTTTTAATCACAGAAATCCAATTCCGAATTTAGGGTTTCACTTACGTAATATTGGCGATGCCGCTCCCCAAGTTGTACCTAAACTGAAGGTACCCATTTACTAGGTTAATCGCTATAAAATCTCCTTTGGCTTTATTAGACTGGCCCGTGTAAAGGAGCATCCCGGAGAATCGGTTCGTTAAAAACCAGATTTCGATGCGAAACGCTTTACCCAGCCCTTCAAGTGGAGGTAATTCAATGTAGCTCGTCCCGTTAAATTGAGGGGACCACGTCTCTTGGACTACATTTACATCTGTGAGCAAATAAAAAGGGCAAAATTAAAAGGATCATTGTTTTTTTGCTATTTATATAATTTTTTTGAAGTATATAATCCAAGTAATGATTTTATTTTATTTCGGTTTATCGATCCTGTTTTACTGATACGTTTTCGAAAATATGTAGGGTGACCTAATAACCATTAAACATTTTACAATAGCAAATAAGTAAGAGTAGATATATTTTATTAGTCCTGATCTTAAATATCACAATTAGTCATTCAAAAGTAAAGCATCAGAATGAAGCCGAAGTTAATTAAAAAACTCCTAATGTACCATTGCTACAAGTATTTCCATTGGAACCGATTTCTCCTCCAAACAAACATCGGCAGACGTGTCCTCCCTCAGGCCCGATGTCACACAATAGCCCCTCATCATATCCGCAGGGATTCGACTCGCACGGATCTAATCTCTCGTCACAATTGCCTCCTTGAAATCCGATAGGGCAGACACAAATATATTCGGTTGTTGACCCGTCCACAGCTGTACATGTGGCGCCATTTTTGCAAGGCATACTCATACAAGGGCTAGCTTGACATTCCCTAACATTTTCCGTGGCCACAACTAATGAGTCTGGTCTCCCCAATTTCTTTGTTACTTGATGACGTATTATCCTTAAGTACTTGACGCAACCAATAAATCCGCTCCGGGTGCCGATGTTATCAAAAACCCTAGAAATATATTGATTTTTTTATATGTGTTTGCTTATTGAGATAATAGTGTATTATTGTTGGTTATTTGTTATAGTTTCTGTTTATTCTTTTGATTTGAAGTGAATGATTGTTTTTTAATGTAATAAAATAATATGTATAAAAGACAAAATCTTTATAGTAAGTGAATATTAATAAGGAAATTAATTTATTTCGAGCTCAAGAAAGAATCTTATTAATTAAAATTATTCAATCTAAAATATCTATTACGGTAAATGAAATCATTATTCATCAAAGAAGCCACAAAATAAGGATATTTAAAATTACCTGGAGTAATTTGTGGGTACTTTGCCTATATAAGCATCTTCAGCAAGGTCTAAAGCCTTTAAATTTCCACTAGATTGTCCAGCTACATCCTCCATATCATCTACAGAGAGTATTCCATCGCGATGGTATCGTTTAGCTGATACTTTGTGATATTCATTTAAAGTTATTTTTTCTAGAGATGTTAGAATTATGACACCATTACCAAGGTTGTACCTGATAAAAGGAATAAATGCTAAGTTGATCTAATAATGCTAAGATAATCCAGAGGTTTTAGCAACTTTAGATACAGATAAGATCCGACGACGAATATATTTGAAACAACATACCTTCTAAGTTAAGTTAAGTAAAGCAAGATTTACAATCAAATGTAGTGAACAGAAGTGAGAAATCAGAAAATATTGCTCACCTAAACTCTAAATATCCATTCACAAGAGCTAGGGAAACAAAGTCGCCGGTGCCGTCGGGTTTCTGCTGATTGTACAATAATACGCCATTCTCGGAAAACGCTTTGAACTCGATGTCGATGTTCAACTTGTGGTAAGCCTTTAGTGGTTTAAGGCGAATATACGCGGAGCCGTCAAAGGATGGCGTCTCAATATATGATCCTATTAGGGTCTCCTTTGACAGCGATTCGCAATTGAGCCCCGTGTAAAGGCTCGTGCACACACATGTATAAGTCGATCCAGGCAGATCTATACAGGTGCCGAAATTGTAACATGGATCGGAAAGGCATGCGCTGTATTCTTCAGTCGTTTCTTGTGTTGATTGTTCTAAAAAGAAAGAAGTTTTGAAGTCATAAAGAAACATATATAAACATTCCGTTTTCGGAAATCCTACTAATTTGAGGACTGACCGTTATCTGCATCTGTCACAAGCTTGACATAATTAAAATGGGCGGGTATTCATTAGGCTAAAAGAAATTTAAATTCAGTCGGGAATACAAAATCTCATTCAAAATTTAAATAGAATAAATAACCTTGAGCCATTATCTCTTTGTCTTACTTCATCTTAACAGTCTATTTTATTTCTTTTATGTTAATAGTAGAATATTACTGTAAATATTTTTTTTATTAATATTCCATTTAATATAGATAATAATTTCAACATTTGGAGAGTGAATCTTTTCGCTACAAATACATCCGGATATATTTACAATTTAAATTGTTTGTTGAATTAAGTATTCGAAGACTTACCAACGCAAGCTTTCCTATGAACTGTGGCGATATATCCAGGACGACATTCACAGCCGCCTCTTGTACAATGTGCACCAGGCAGCGCAAAACAGTCCGTATCTTCTGTACACAAATCTCCAAGCAAAGCTCCCACTGCGCCGACTGTAGCTGTTGTTGCTGTTTGCGAACCTAATCGGACGCATTAATATAAGATGGACAAGAATCGTTTGCAGAATATAATCATTTTTTTTTCTCTTTACATTTGAATTTTACGGAGCATATTATTTCTTTAAGTTGCTTTTACTTTGCTGTTCTAATTTTATTTGTAATACTTGCTTGTAAACGTAAAGATATATTTTTTCAGTATAACTGATCCCTCTTTATAATGAAATTAATTGTAACTTAAGAAAGTTGAATTGAGAAAGAAAGGGAGTAACGATATGACAATAAGAAGAAAGACATTAAAATTTTGTAATTGATCATAATATTCAAAGCAACTTTTTCATCTTAACGCTCAGAGCGCACTGCGACTAAATAATCTAAGTCTGAAATATTACGGTTTGAAGTACATAACCTTCTATACAAGCGCACGCATTAGCTAATTGTAAATGCAAGCTGCAATGTAAGCAGTTTTGTGTTTGAAGCGGTTGTACTCCTATCACCAACTTTACATGTATCGTCAGTTGACTCCAGTGAAAGAAGTTTCTTTGAGCTCTGTCCTACTTTACAACATTGAAAATACGTAAGTTAGAACAGGACAGAGGAAGAAACCGCACAGACCAGCTCTATCTCAACCCCATGCTTTCAAACGCCGTATTTTCCTACCTTCATTTAATTACAAACTAACAAGATATATTTGTAAATGTGCATTTATAAAATATTTAAAAGTCTGATAATTAAATTGATAACGTTCCCCTTGAATGGAAAACAAATGATACAGCGAGGGGAATAAATTGAGTTCACAAATAAAACTTGCAAAGGAGAGTGCAAACTTAAATATTGACAAATCAATATTGGCACGTTGATTCACGGGATAAAAATGTAAGCCTAGCTTATATTTGTATACAGGTATCTGCCTTTATACAAATAAATAAAAAAAACCTTTATTATATTATTCTTTCTAGGTATCTAACTAGATAGAATAATGTAATAAAGGTTTTTCTATTACTACGACGGTTTATTTAGAATTTTTGATGTTTTTAGAGTACAGAATGAAACTTTGGTGTTTTTGAATCAACGTTTCCGTTAAATTGTTATTGTTATTGTTATTGTATAGCTATTGTAAAAAATTAAATGAATGATTTTACTTAATCACAGAAACTAATAAGAAAACTCAATTCAACATTAAATAACGTTATTTCTAACATAAACTTATTTAGTTATGAAGATTTTTATGCAATAGAAACCCACTTATTTATGAAATAGTGATTTCATCGGTATCAATAAATTTCGGAGACTGCCCAACCTCACCTTTGAACTTTTGTCCGGATAGAACATTGTCGAAATCGCTTGACGTCTCTTTCCTCGTCCAATCATATTTATTGTAATATTTGTCGGGATTGAGAAGATGTCGTGTAGACTTAGAAGCTGCGCCATCGTCCTGTTGTGTGAATTGTATAGGCGAGGATGGTCTAGGTGGGCCAGCTGTGCCAGCTACTTCACTGAGCTTACATGGGCCAAAAGCTTGCACCACAATATCTTCTTGCGTGCGGCACGCTTGGAATTTGAGGTGACATTCTGACTCGTAAGTTTTACCATCGCTGCCACATACCTGTTGGTTTTGTTTTTCAGTGTATTTTATGTGATTTTGCACGAATATTTACACGCCAAGTATATTTACAGTATTTGCATTGATGAAAGAATATTAAAATAATTTCTTCTATCAATACTAATGATAACTAGTGGGTCTTAAAACAATCGCATCGATACCAAGAGTAAAATGTAAGATTGTATTTTTGAAAGCATGTAATTCGAGTTTGTAAGGTTAATAAAGAGCTTCATTGATATCAATCATAACAACATTGACATTCGATATGCGGTTACGAAACGAAATTGGATAATCCGATTTCCTTTGGGGAAACTTATTCAACATAACAATACGAGTGTGTTTTCTTCATAGCTTTGAGAATCATAATAAATGTGGATGAATTATTATCGAGGAAGAATCGAAAAGTTTCAGGTAACTTATTCAGAATAGATTTTGGAAATTATTTAATTGTGTAATTTAGAATTTTATAAATTTCGTTATTTTCTTTTAAGAATTATATATTAACAAAAAAACTAAACGTAAATCTTTCTTATCTATAAATAAACTTACCAGCATGTTGGTATCGCTATCAGGACAAGGAGCTGCTGCACATTCGCATAAAGCTCCTCCAGTTCGTTCAGTACATACCGCTCCAAAATAACATGAAAGTTCTAAACAAGAACTTACTACACCACCGCTCTCCGCTAAAATATATTCAAAAGTACATTCAAGTAGATCGAATTAAAGTAATAGTCAATATTAACTCAATAATCTGCTTATTAAGAAGTTTTATGGGTTATTTGTTCAATACTTGGGTTTAAAAGTTACTGACAATTTACACTGCTGCCATATTAACTTATTTTTAAAGAACAAGCGATTATATAACATAATGTAATAAAGATATTTGAATTTCCTATTTACGTAATAATTATTACGTATGAAGAATGAGATGTTAGTTATCTACTATGTGCCATATTAATCGCATTTCTCAAAAGCTTTACAAAGTTGTTAACGCTTAAACCGGGGACAAACTTCGACAATACTTAGGTGCGGCACCCTCGCTAAATAAAGTTTTAAACTCCACAAACTTAAGTTTTGTGGACAGTAATTTTGTAATACCATACCCGTAATCTTCTACTACGGGTATCTTCTTAAATAGAGATAATAGGTAAAACTCTACAAAGCGTTTGCCATTTTATTGTAATCTCCAAGGATCTTCAAAAAGAGCATGTAATGCCTACAGTCTCGTTAGTAAGCGGTATGAGAATTTTATAGATTCACTCGCAATTTTCACACACTTTTGCATCTATAAATGATAATATTTTATCTGTTCTTGATCTGATAGCCAGTCTGAATTATGATCGATTTTACGGTTAAAATGAAACTTGAAAAAACACTTACGATCTGAACAGCCATTAGGACCTAGCCTTCTTCTATGGTCTGCGCACACTGTACACTTTTGGCCCTGAACACCAGTTCTACAAACACATCGACCTGTCATCTGTTCGCAGTCTTCTCGTACTGAACCAAATGCTGAACATCCACAAGCTAAAAATATTTATTTTTCTCAGGCACATACATATTTAAATTATGAACAGAATTGTTGAACCAAATCGTCTAATAATTCGATCGATTTCTAAATACAGTAACTACTAATCTTTGACTATCACTAATAGGAAATGCCAATATAATTTGAGTGATGGTCGTATTTGTACACTATTCCATCATTCTTTAGTAGTTGTATACTCACGAATACATCCCGTATGTCCTGTTCCAATTCTTGGTAAGCCCCAATATCCAGGTTCACATCTGTCGCATTTAAGTCCACCCACACCTGGTCGACATGAGCACTGTCCGTTCTCATCACAACGATCTGATACCGAGCCCAATCTATTGCACCCACAAGTAGAACTCGTGATTGGACAACCTTCTTCATTAGGACCAGTTGCCGTTGTACTACCATCCGAGCAACATCCATAAACACTTTCCGAACAGTGAAATACCTTCTTTTCTTCAAATTTCGTGTCATCTGCATAAAATACCGAAGCCATAACATTTGCATGTATACAAAATCATAAACGTGCTACTTTACGAGACGGTAACAAAGGAATTCAAGTCGTATCAGCTAGCGTGATTGTATACAATTTAAACATGGTCCCCTGTACTGTTAGTATCTTCACCTTGACAAATCACTAGTAAAGTACAGTATATATGCATGGAAAGGGTACGATTTTCGCATGAGTGAAGGCGGATGTGATAATTTAAAAGCAAGACTTACAAATTACATTGAAAATTTAAATACGTTTTGCGTGCGTCGGCAAATATTGCCGGCAGAAAGAAAACAATAAAGTTCTGAATTGGGGATATACTAATGTGGAATTTATAAATTTAAAATAACACTGTTTCACAAAGGTTACATTTAACTTAGAACATTAAAAATCAATAGCATACATCCGTAATTTTAAATAAAATTTTAATTTATTTACATCTCAGCGTTATAGATAAAAATATGTTTTCAGAGGAGCAATTTACCTAAATATAATAATTATAAAATTTAAAGTTTCTCGACTTTCTTCGTAACTATATTTATTTCCTTCCCGTTTTTAAATAATCAATAAAATTAAAGAGTCTGTTAATAAAAACTACTCTTGAGCTAATTGGAATGGGCTTGATCCATTTTTTTTTTGGCTTTTATGATATTGTTTATATAATATTACATTATTATGTACTCACTTTTAGGGCAACATCTTGCAGCTGTTAGAGTAATGTGGCAATAAGTACCAGCTGGACAATCTTGTCGATGTGGGCCATTACCACAATCAATTTCAAGGCCAGTCGTAGTATCTATCATTGCTTTGTTATTCCCACAAGGTCGCACCTCCATACCTGTAGCGTTCCAAATAATTAGTGAAACTACTATATGTTTTGAATTATATCCATTTAATTGTTAGTAACGTGCTCAAGAACATGCTATTAAGGGAAATTCAAACCTTTGCAAAGGTCCAAAGGCCGTAACCGCAATTCGAGTTGTTTCTGACAACCTTCCTTACGCATTGCACATAGACTGGAGTACAATCTAAAATCCGAAGCGCAGACAGGAAAGTAATCCACTTCATGGGGACACTCGAAGAGGCATGAACATCTGGGATAGCCATCAGTTCCAACTTCACAACTGGCGCCAAAATCGCAGCGAATATCTCGGCAGGCAGAGGGGCTGGCCGTTCCACCCATATCTGTCGGACCCAACGAGTTTGTCGATCCTTCCTCCGTCTCAGTAGTGGTCATCGCGGTCGTTGCTATCCACCCCCACCCAAATATTTGCGTGTTAGTCGAGCGATAAAGCGGAAAGTTAGTTAATTGATCGAGGACGGGTCGCTTTATTGAAATTACTGCTAACAACTGGGTTGATGACGGTCTGATGGTAAATATTGTGACTGTACCCGCCCATATTGTGTACGAGTATTTTGTTACTACCGAGTTATTCAACAGAATCCAATATATGTTAACAGATGTAATTTACTTTACTACATGTCATAGCATATAAAATCGATTATAACACATCCTCGACTAATAATATAATAGATGAAATAACAATTACAGAGCTGAATACTTTAAAATAAATATTTATAACAGTTTTTTAAATTATTAATAACTAGCTTTTAATGTTAGTATCAGAAATTCTTCAAGATATACGAGTTCGTTACTCACTCATAGCAATGGGTGGTACAACTGCTAGTCTATCCTTGCAATCTCCATAGAAAATCACATGAAGTGTCGCCGGTGGTGGCAGTCTACATGCAGCTTTTTGAAGTTCACATTCATTTGGATAAGTCTGCATAGTGCTACCACATACAGGCTCTCGAGCTGCTCCAGTGCAATCAGTTGGGCAAACGCATTCACCAGCTGAACAGTGTGCTCCGAATGAACATTGTACTCCTTCACACAAAGCTGTAACAAATATATTATTGAAATCATCTTCTCTTTATTATATCAAAGTCAGGTTTAACGTAAACGAAAATGAAACAGCATAGATTTTATACTTATGTCTAGTAAACCTTAAGCCAACATGAGTTAAAAATGTAGCTGTCATGATTCATTCAAAGTATTATTCGAAAGAGATTTTGCAGCCAAATTAATTTCGTTCGCAACTTATTTTGCTTATTGTTCTCCCTACAAAAGTACAAAAGGCTATATTTTTTCACCAAAATGTAAGCTTCCCTGGTCTCAGATATTAATCGACTTTAGCATTCTTTTCGCTTCTTTCATTTGGCGGGCCGCGGTGGTAATCAATCGTTATTAAATTTGAACGGCTGTCTGCCTCCAGTTCCACATTGCGGAAAAGCGCGAGCCTAATTCTCGTCGACGTGAGAATGAGAAAATACCAGAAAGTTGCAATGTCGGGCAAAGTTATTACATTATCTGTCCAACCATTTCTTAACAAATTTTAGTCGTGTATTTACAGAGTCGTAATCTAGATGATATAAACCAAGGTCGTCATTAATGTAGATAATGTTTAACTGTAGATCGTTGTTATGTGCTTATGTAGATTCCCTTCCCAATCCATTTGCATAAATTTTTAAGGCATACTTTTCTCTTAGTTAAATTTAAACAGCTTACGCATAATTTTTCTAGTAAAAACAATGTATTAGCATAGATTTAATAACTTGTAAATGCTACGCTTGCTACATTTACACCAAATAAATAGTTTAAAAGATAGTTGTGCAAAAATGAACTTTATGCTAAAAAGAATTATGGCAAAAATTTTTGGCAAAGTGTATTATTAACAAGACCTTATCCGAAGTTAAGAAATTCATGGTCGTATTTCTTCAAATATATGATTTGCGTTAAATATGTAGATGTATTGTAGAGAAGGAACAAAAGTATCAATTTCACGCTACTTATATACCGGTCGAATAGAATTATTGTGTAATTATTAAGGATTGAAAACTTACATTTGGATATTTTTCATCGTGTAATCATTAAGATTTTAGATATACTTTTAATTATAACATTACCTTAGCACGAAGGTAAATAAATGACATGAAGTATATTAATACAAAGGATAAACTTTATAGTACTTTTTATTTATGTTAACAACAATCTAATCCCAATTGATCTAGCTAATTGACCAAGTTTGAGTGAAAGCCAGCAAGATACCGATTAACTCACAGAGTGAACCAAAGATGGACAACACAAAGCCGATTTATTTATTCCAACTTCGTTTCGATTCGGCAATCGAGCTCTTTAATCCCGTATCGACCTTAAATCCGGTAAATACTGTAGCTGTAACAGACATCTGCAAATTAAAATCTTTCATTGTTCACTTTTACTTGATTTTTTTTTATAAAAGTTCTTCTCTCTTAGAGTCTTCAATTGACCACATGATTCTGTAGTTATTCGTATACGTATATCTTATAGATATGTATATATTTGAGTGTTTTGTGGGTAAGTATCTTAATTTTTTTACTGTGTCATTTACGTAGTACCATTACATTTCTCTTAATATATAGATGAAAAAGCACCGTATTGAGGCATTAAAATACAGCTATGAAATTGCCAGTGTAATTGAATTAAAATAAAATCACTTTTCATTTTTTTACCAGTTTCTCTCACTTAATGTTTTATGGGCATTTACAATACAGCTTTTAAAAGGAAGTATTTATTATAATAAATGAAGTTGACGTTTATGAAAAAAACAAGTTCGATGAAACACAATTAGTGAACGAGAAGCAGAATAGAATTATTTATAAGGAATCAATTATATCGACAGATTTTTAAATAGACTAACCTGTTTCTATAAAGTCTAAAAGTTGTTCTAAATATCATATTTCTTTGAACTTTCTGATATTAGTAGAAAACAGAAACTTCACCATTATAATAACATTTAGACAATATTAAACATATAAATAGAAATATCTGGATAAAAGAAAATCCGTTTTGAAAAAGCAACATTTATACTGATTTAATATTAATATGACATACCGAATGTCGTAGCTATGAAAAAATACCTACACGGAGTTTTATTAAAAGTAATAACGTGAAACACAAGTTAATTTCTCAACGTCAATCATTTTGTGGAATCCAACGACTAAAAAGTAAAACCGACTTCAAAAAATCGTAATAAAGAGAAACGACTGAAAAGAAAGAAATAATACCATAAATTTTTATCTTCCATTGAAACGAAATACAAAAAGTGGATACAGTAACAATTTTTGAGTTCGGTGCTTAAATAAATGAAATCACGGAACCTCTTTTTTGTGTTCTGTGTATGAAATTATTAATGTTTTTGATCTGAGTCATGAGGCACGGAATTGAAGATATATTGACTTTAAACGAGGTTTTATTTTTGAATAATTATTGAGAAAAATGTAAAATATCTCTTTTAGTTATTAAAAAAGCACTAGGAAAATCAAGTTGAACTTAAATATGAAGTATACTTTTAACAAAAGCATTGATTAGAATGGAAAAGAATGGTTTATTTTTTAGCAATAAATCATAAATTTTATTTATACTACATAATTTTATATATTCTTAAAATTGGGTATTAAAATACTCTCTATATTTATTTATAGCTTACCCATTGACGTAGTGGACAGTAATTTTCAACAGAAATTAAAAAGGTAAACAAAGAAATAAAATACGTTTTCTGTTAAACACACTGGGTTAACAAATTAATATTAATATTAAACCTGTATGACGTCGGAATTCAGAATTACTTTTTCATTTTAAGTAGATAAAATTTCATTTGATCTCTCGACTTTCAATTATTTTTGCAATCAGCTTATAAACTAAAGATGATAGCGGAAAACAGAGTTATTTTTCATATTACCAACGTAAAATAAATTCTGCAGAAATTGTTCGCAATATTAATATATTCGGATGATACCTGGGTACAAAATAGAAATTCTATTTAGTAGTAGTTCTATTCAGTCAGATAATAGAAAAATATTAGTTACGTCTTTTAACGAGAAATTGCAAGATAATAATTATTAAAGTTGATGAGTGAGGGCTTGCTACGTCATAACTATTTATAACTTGTACAAAGATATAACGTCATGCGACATTTCAAGTCGTTACTTATTGATGACGCAGAAATTAAAAAAAAAAACGAGTTTAATATTCTTCAATAATTGTGTCTGACTGACAGACAAAAATAATTAACCTCATCACTATTACGTATTTAGAGAAGATACTCTTAAGTAACGCAACGCGTGTTTTAGCTTTAATCATCTTGATAGTTTGAACTTGGAGCTGAAATCGATGGTGTAATTGTAATAAGGACGTTAGTTTACAGTAAATCAGTAAAAACTAAAATGATCAGGAGATGGATCGGGGAGATCCCATGGACGTGATAAGAGCAGTACGTGAGCTACAAACCTTGCCATTGTTTATTATATTGGTACCTAAGGAAATTGAAATTGAACCGCCTTCTTTGCCACCGAGTTGGACTAAAATATTTATGACAAAAACTATTAACATAGTCTTATGGTTTTGTGGTTACTCAGTAACTTTAGCAAGGGTCGGTCGCGGGATAGATGACCAAAAAATTATCATCTCGAGCTACTCCGTGTATCTTAATACCCTATAATCCTCATTAGGTATGTAAGCTTAGTACAAAGTTTAGTGAACTCGTTTCCAAAATGAAATTGTTAACGGCTTAAATATAATTTTCGTGAGTTCATGTATCAATGTTTCGAAAAATAATTGCCCCCATAAACTTTTCGTGCGCGTATTAAAAAGTACCGATTGATCCTATCCTCTTTTTGATAATTATGATTCAGCGTGATTTTTACAATTATAGACACCAATATCTCGTACCATGTAAAGAACTTTTTTTAACAATTACATTTAGAAAATTAACAAAGTTAGAACAGAAATTTAAAATTGGAACCCACAGTTCTGTTCATAAAAAAATTACTCCCACAACATATTTTACGCTCGTGACGTAGATGAATGGCGGATACAGCGATATTAATGGGATTAGAGGGGGGTTATTGTTGATGCGCAATTGACACGATTTAGTATCTGACGCGACTGTAAAATATTGACGGTACTTAAACAAACGGTAGGATGACAAATTAAAAATGAGATTCATTGTATCATGAAATGTTTGAAAACTCTTTGATTCAGTATAATCCCCACATGTCAATTAACATTGTGTTAACACAAAAAGAATATACTCCGAAACGAATGCGTTTGAAAATAATAAAAAAATATTTATGATGCTTTAGGTACTACGCCCTCATGTTGTATAATTTGATTAATTTACTTATATGAAATTAAAT